GTGAACACTGGGAGCAGACACTGCCCTGGTGGCTTTCCAAACGGGGGGAGCTGCCTGGCTGCTGGCACGGTGTTGGCATCTCTCTTCACAGCCTGTTTGTGCACGGCCGTGGGAAGGGGTGACCTGGGCACGGCCACCTCTGCTTGCACAAGTGTCACCGTGTGCCCCGCTGCGGTATGTGCGCGTCTGGGCCGGCAGCATGTGCTTGCTGGGTGTGTGTCAGGAAAAGGACAGGAGAATCCAGACAGGGTCAGGGGGGAAGGTGCACACAGAGGCCATGGTGCAGCTCCACAGCAAAGGAGATCAGGTTTCAGGAGAGCCTGGAGCGAGGGCTGGAGGGGGACAGGAGGTGGGCTTTGCTGCTGCATTCCCTGGCAGGCAGCACAAGGCAGGTTTAAAGAATATCCTTCCATTTAGGAGTTTGTTTATTATTCTTAACTAAGCAGCTCAGCCAGGCAAGCCGGCAGCACCGTATCCACGCTGACTTCCCAGGAAGGCAGGGAAGGGAGGGACAGGAAGGCAAATTTCCAGAGCAGGGGACAAAGGGATTTGTGTACAGCTGGGGTAGGGAAAGGGGCAAAGCCACTTTGCCAGCCCTTTGGAAGGAGTGTGGCAGACCCCCAGCTCTGGGATGTCAGAGTGGAGTCTGGGTGGAGTGCAGCTGGAGCATGGCAGACAGCAGCGTGACTGATGTGCTGTTCCAAACCCAGCAGCACCTTTGGGTTGGCTGCTCTTCTCTCACTTAAGAACTACAGTCTTTTGTCTGCAGTTCCTCAGAACCAGGAGCAGACTCAGTTCTGTGTTTCCAAGGGAGGGGAGAGAAGTGATCTCTATCTCTGCCCTTCTAAAATGCACTTATTCCATCAGGAGTCATGGGGCACCACGTATTTGTGGTAATAGAAATTCCCTCTCCTTGCAAGTATGTCCACACCAGGGGGTCAATGCACATCTCTCAGCTCTGTGTTTTTGGCTTGGACCATGTAGCAAGTGATGACCATGAACACAGCAACCTAGATAAAGAAGAGCAGGTACTGCTGTGATGTCTCCCAGAAACAGACCATAGTTACCTGTGGGCATAGGTGGTGGAGAAGGGGAAAGTCCTGCGCATCTCCAGATGTGGCAGTGCTGTGGATGCGGGTGATGGGGCACACCCCAAAGCCACCCCAAATGTGAAGGGGAGAGCTGGCCTTGCAGCTCAGAGGGCAATGCTGCACGGGAGGGACTTGCTGTTTGCTGAGTGCCCATGTGTGTGCTCGCACTGTCATGAAAATGAGGTCAGGGAAGGTCATTCGGTTCACCAGTATAAATCAGGGAGGAAAGTGGAGTGGAGCCTGTGAGCACTGGGGAGATGTCACTGGTGGGGGTGGCTGGGGGAGCAGGCAGAGAACGCCACACGTGGGTAAAGCAGAAAATAACAGTGAATGAAAGCAGCCCAACGGTGGCAGCCCAAACAGAAGGCAGGAAGAGCCCAGCCTCAGGCCCTTCATCCTGCGCTGTAACCAGTGCTTCACATTAACCCCCAGCATCATCCCACCAGAGCAGGCAGAAGGGCTCCACACCCGCCAGCCCCAACCCACTGACAGGAAACCTTTCACTGGAAACTTGCTTGCATTCAGTGCAAAATGTCTCACTTCTGTTAGCAATTTGTTCCCCATCCCAAGCATTCCTGGGAGCAGCGTGGCGGGGCAGGAGATGAGCCAGGAGGGCTGCGTGGCTGCTTCCCCCCGCAACCTGCTTAATAACAGAGGAGCAGACAGCAGCCCTTTCACCACCTCCTGCTCTCCTGTGTGTCCCTCATTCCACCTTTCACCGCTTCCCTCTTCATTTCTGTCCTTTCTCCTCCCTTCTGCCAGCCTCCCTGCTCCCCTTATCCCTTTCCCTTCTCCCTTCATCCCTTTCTTTTTCGGTGCTTTTAGCATGTTTGGACCTCGCGCTCTCTCCCCTTGTCTCCAGGCATCATCACACCTCTGGCCCACCACCCTCTTGGCCATGGCAGAGCTCAGCACTTTTCTCCTTGTGCGTGGTCTGAGCCTCCAAAATGGGTTTTGTGATCAGTCTGCCCCCAGCACTCTCTGGACAGAAGTCTCCCTCTCTCCCTCATCCCTTCCCCCTCCTCTTTTTCTCCCTCACATAATATTTTCCATATGAAGAAGCCTTCCTGAAGCCGCACACTGCCCTCTTGGCGAGTCTTAGGCGGGTTAGAGGAGACCCTGGGAGCCTTTAATCCTCTCTCTCTCGCTTGCTTGCTTTCATCCTCAGCCACAGCTGGACGCCCCATTGATGTGGAACAGACCAAACACCAGGCCTCTCGCTAAGCTGCTGCTGTGGGGCCTCTTCTCCTTCAGAGCGAGCCGAGCCCGCAGCCCATGTCCTGCTCACAGAGTGCTTGTCCCGTGGGCCCCGCAGCCCCTGCAAGCACACAGCAAGCACCTCCTGCCTGCCCCCCATACTCCCCCTCCCTACAGCTACTGCTTCCCCAGCCATCTGCTGCAGCCTCCTCTTAAGAGCAGCCCTCACCTTCTCCCTTCTCCCAGCATCCCCTTTTCTCACGCTTACTTAGCATTGATTCCTCACTGCCCCGCATCCCTGCGGAGGTGAGGATGAAGGACTGGTTCGTGTTGCTTGTGCTCGAGAAGCAACTGGTGGCAATGCCGCCAGGAAGGGCCGGGCAGGCTCCATCAGCTGACAGGCAAGCTGTTAAGACCGTAGCCTGCTCACCGCTTTGAGACAAGGGTCTTTGGCCGGCTGTGGAAGGTCCCTCTTAGGGTACACTGCAGGGTGAGGGGGGGATATCCAGCTCCTCTGAAAGCTTTGCAGTGTGCACAAGACGGGCGCACACGGGCACCTGCCTCCCCGAGCCAGGGGAGCCAGAGGAGGGACGGACAAACCACCGTGCCCAAGCACCCACAGGGACACAGCAACCGCCGTGCCCCGGTACCGGAGCGACGGACAAACCTGGGGCCCGGTCCCGGCGCTATTCCCGGTCCTCGCCCGCCCCCTAGCGGCCTGGCACCTCCACCGGAGCGGTTGGAACCCTGCGGGTTTCACGGCAATGGGAGGGAATCAACGGGAAGCAAGAATTTCTGAGCGTGTGGTTTTATCCTTGATTGGATGAAGAGCTCAACAGAAGCTTCAGGGGCACTCCAAGAAGACGGGCAGAAGAGGTGGGTTGATGAGAGAGTTCAGAGAAGGGGAAAAAATGATCCAAGCTGCCAGAAACAGCCTGGGAGGGAAAACTGCAGGGCTTGGGGGTGGTTATCCTGAAGGGAGGCATGGCAGGCGTCACTGCATAAAAGGCAATGAAAGGGAATGATCTGTGCTCTGAGTGCTCAGCGGTACGAAGGGAGCGGGGCATTTAGATAGCAAGAGAGTCAGATGTCAGGAGAAGCTTCAAGCAAGCACTGGAACAGGTCACCAGGAGGATGCTGCAAAATGAGTTAAAGAGATCTTTAGAAATCACATCGAAAGAGCTGATCCTACCGAGTGTCCCTGGACTGGAGTAAGTGACCTCCTGAGATAACAGTCACCATTATTTGCTGTGATACTATAATTAAAAGCCATATGGATCCTTTGTTGGAGGTGCAGCAAAAGGACCAACTTCGTTCCTTCCTTGCTATTCCTTAGTGACCACCACGCTGGGTCTTGGACAGGCATCTCCTCATGACCCATCCTGGCACACAGTGCTGCTCTCAAAGACAGGGCATGGCAAATGCAGATGCTGTGGGAAGGGGGGGAGGCATTGCAGTGGGCACAGATCTTGGCTGGGTTTGTAGCAACCAGTTGCAGCAACTGAGCTAATTGCAGACTCCTGGGGTTTGCTGTAGGAGAACAAGTGCATCCCCCCTTCTTGTTACTGAGCATCAAGTGCCTGATGAGAGAGGGATTTGGGGACAAGACAATGCAAAGTTATCTAGCACAAAATGATTAGCCAGAATGTATTGTTAATAAGCTGCTTATCCATATAATTGGAAATGATTTGCAGCCAGGGTGTCAGTACAGGCTCCTGCACTGCTCTGCTGGAGCGCAGCAGGTAGGTCCTGGCCCAGGGGAGACCCTGCGAGTGGCAGTGGAGGCATCTGCTGCTGTTCTGCCGCTCCACTGCCACTGCCTGAAGGGCACAGAAGGACACAGGGATTTCAAGGGGAAGCAGAAGAGAATCTGTCAAGCCCCACTGACTAAGGGACATGTTTCCCAGTAGGGCAAGCACAAGGTATCTGTGGAGCGAAGCAGAAGAATGGGCCTTCTCCAGTGTCCTTACAACAGCTGGAACAAGAGTGGGAGCTGATTGTTAAGATGCAGAACCACGGATCCTGAGACATGGCAGACTAAGTGCACGGAGCACTGTACCTTTGATGCAGCACAAAAAGCAGCACTGAAGGGAAGGATCTCTCTGAAAGCCACTGTCAAAGAAAAGGAGAGTCTTTGGGAGGCAGCAAGGAAGCAAATGTACATGAAAGAGTTGCTAATAATTTTGGAACTGAGCTCATCCAAATGACAGCAGTGTAATACTGTTTCAGCAGCCCCCAGAATGACTAGCAGAGCTTTACTATCACACACGACTGACACAGGCTTCTGTTTCCTTACCAAACCTTTTATATCTTCAGTCTTTTGAAGCCTCCACAGAGCCAGCTCAGGCCTGTTAACTATTCCATAGGGGGAATATAATTCTATATATATTTGTGCTCACTGTATCTCTAGACACAAAGCTTGAATAGGCATGAAAAGATCTGTCCTTGAGCACAGTACTAAGCTGTAACCAAAGCTGAAGAATCTCTTCATCTTTTGACAACCACAGTCTCCTGCCTGATCCCTCCACACACTGAACCACCAGCCATCACAAGCACTTGTGCAGCACTGCGGTGGAGCCAGCATGAAGTCGCACAACACTGTGGCTTCAGTTTGCAAGGGACTGTTTCTGCCTCCTGCTCCATAGACACATAGACTGAAACCAAGAGTGGAGAGCCCAGGGCTCATTGCCACCCTGGCTTCGAGGAGACTTTCCAGGAAGGGGCTGGGCTGAAGACACCTTGGGAGCCCAGAGAGAAGGGCTAGGCCACAGCAAAGGACCTGCTCCATCCCCAATGGCTCAGGACAGAGCGAGGAGAACCCCAGTGCTGCTGCCCTGAGGGCAGAGTGTGAACATGGCCAGGCGAGAGCAGCAAAGAGCCTTTGCCCTCGGGACGGGCCAGGCTCTCCCCACAGCCACTTCCGCAAATGCACCCTCAAATTTTCTTAATATCAGTCTTACAGCAAATTGTGGTGAAGTGTTTCCGTCGAAAGCAAGAGCTCAGGCACTTCCTCCAGCAGCACCACTGTGATGCAGGAGGGCTCACAGGACAGACACTTCTGAACAGGACACGTTGGGCAGCCCCCAGCAATGCCCCTTCCCTGGGCTTGAGGACAGCCATGGAGCTGAGAACCCTCCTCCTGCTGCTGCTCTGCTTCCCAGGTAAGAAAGGGCTGGGCATGCCTCAGGCTTCCCATGAACCTAAGTGGGGGACACGCTTCCCCACCTCCTGCTGCCTGGGGAGCTCCACACCGGAATCCAGCACTGGCCAGACTTTGAGCTGAGCAGCTCCCAGCAGGGATGGGAAGGGAAGGGGCAGCCCCAATTCCCACTATCGGTCCATTTAGGCTTGAAGGTCCAACACTTCCAGCACCTGCAGGTCTGTGGTTTTAAATCAATGATACTGGATTTTAAATCACAGTGGTGGCCCCAGCTGAAATCTCAGCGCTGCCCACTGGAAATCAACCTCCTAGTCTCCAAGCAGGTGCATTTAGCCAGGAGCAATTTTGGTTTTCAGGGTTCCTCCAGCCATCAGTAGCCATGGGGGACGGTCGCAGGCAGTTTCCCCATGTCTTTTGGGAGGCAGAACGCAGCTTCCCTCTCCCTCACCACATCTGATATTTACAGGTTTTCAGGCCCAAACACCGAGCGCTGAGGAGACACGCTCAGAAGGCAGCAGTCTGTACATCCGGTGTCCTTACACAGCACAGACTACCCGCCAGCAGCGGAAAGCCTGGTGCCGCTTCAGAAACGGACTGTGTGAGCCCTTAGTGGAGACAAAAGAATACTCACACACAAACTGGGCTGAAAAGGGCAGAGTCGCATTAAAGGACAACCCCACAGAAAGAACTGTGTCTGTCACCATGACTGAACTCCAGGCAGAGGACTCAGGCACGTACTTCTGTGCTTACTACTCCTACAGGTATCATCCACTAAGGAAGATCTCACTGTTTGTTTTCAAGGGTGAGTACCTTTTTCCCCACACAAACGCAAGCCATGTCAGAAAGCAACAGCATTCCTTCCCTCCATCCCCACAGCTGAGCAGCTTCCCTGGAGCCCCACATTCCCCTCTCTAGCCCCAGCCTTGCTCGCTGCCTTCCCCACTTACACAAGCAAGAGTGTGAGGAAGCCCCACAGACCCTGCAAGCTCTCAGCTCTCTTGTCCTCCCTTCCTCACCCCCTCCTTGAAGGAGCTGCCCCAGGGCAGAGTTTGTCCCAAGCACCTACTGCTAATGGCCAGGACCACATCTGCTGTTCCACAGAGCTGCACAAGTGGGAGTTGGACAGTGTCTCTGTGCAGTGCCTGCCCAGCACCCTGAGCTACAGCTGGGGGACCAAAGTTTGGTGTCGAAGAGAAGATGAGACTTCATGTATCTTTGTGGCGAGGACAGACTACCCTTCAACACAGCTTAACAGCAAAGCTCTGGAAGACCGAACATTGATCCAGGATGACACCCAGAAAAGAACTGTCACAATCACCATGCAGAAGCTGCAGGCTGAGGACTCTGGCATGTACTGGTGTGCACTCTACGGAAGGTCTCATCTCACCTGGCTCATGGAGGTCAGGCTCTCTGTGTCCAAGAGTGAGTACCTAGTGGTAGCCAGGTGTGGATGTCTGCAGATTTCAGCCCCAGTTCCTGTTTGTTCTCCCTCCCATCCTGTGCCACAGCATCGGAGCCCGGTGCTGCTGCCACACAGCTCACACCCATTGCTTTGTCTCTCTGGCAGACACACGGGCAGCTGCCCCTTGGGCCTGTGGAACCAAGGCCCAGGGCTGGCCCTTCATGCTCTGTCTGCTCCCAGCAGAGACTCAGGGGAGGTTCAGGAGCTCCCACAAATGGTGCCACTCTTCACAGGTGCTTCCCACAGGGCTGATCCAGCGGGTCCAGAAGCAGCTTCTCCAGCTCAGCACTGGGAGCAACCACAGTTGCCCCACAGCCCCACAGCCACTCCACAGCCCCACAGCCACCATCCCTCGCCAGTCCTTGCCTTCCAGGCCCTATGGGCTGAGTGCCCATGAGTGTGCAGTCCCTGGGGGAACAAGAGGAAGGGGGCACCCCTTTGTGACTCACCTCTGCATGTGTAATGTCGGTCCAGGCCCCTTCTGCTCCTCATGTCTGGAGGTAGAAGATCTAGGGAGCATTCAGCCCACAGCAGTATTCCAGTGATGGTATTGTGCTTGCTTTGGGGTCTCACCAAACATGCTGGATGTTTTCCAGGGACCAAACAATACACAGCCAAGGAATCAGGCAACGTCTCTGTCCAGTGTCCATACAGTGCCACAGATTACAGGGCTGTGAGCAAAGCCTGGTGTAAAGAGGGAGCAAGGAAATCATGTACAGTGCTGGTCACCACCAGCAGCCTGGAGTACCAGAGGACACCTCAGCAAGGCAGAGTCAGGATCCAGGATGACACGGAGCAGGGGATTGTCACTGTCACCATGGAGAGACTGCAGGCACAGGACACCGGTGTGTACTGGTGTGCACTTTATGAACATGCTCATCTCTTCCGAATGCTGGAGGTCACGCTTAATGTTTCTGAGGGTGAGTACTGACCTGTAGGGAAACACGGTTAGCTGTAGTTTCCAAACTCACTTTCCTGCCCTTTCCCTCTGGGCTCTGCACTGCCCGGCTCACACCACCTCCCACATTACATCTGCACGTGTCTGCTTGCCCAAGCCCATGTCATGGTACCTTCTCATACCAGCCCTGCTGTGGAATAGCAGCAGGGATCAGAACTGGAGCAAGCGTGTGCGCTGTGTTGCTTCACTTCCACCTGAGAGCAGCTTCAATTATCCTCACAGAGGTGTTTCTGTCACTCATTGTCATGATACCAGTTCTGCCCCTTTATAGCAACTTGTCCCTTGGCTTTCAAAGACTATTAAGACTTTCACATTTGGTTGCCAAGGGGACAACCTGTAGACCCATATTTTAAAGACTTCTGTCTGCTAGATTTTATTTCAGCATGATGTTTTAACAGTATGTGCCAACACTTCAGCGCCTGACTGTGGCAGGCCATGCTGCAGCCTGCCTTTCAGGCATGTGGCAGAGCAGCACTGCAGGGCTATGGCAATCCAGAAAATGAGAGGGGATGCCATCATTCTCGAGGTGAAAATCCTACCAGGATTCCTAGGACTGAGTGCAGTCTCTGAGCCGGCAGGCTCCTGCAGGCACAACCTTCCCTGGGCATGGAACAGGCCTGGAAGCAGCTCTTACAACTGGGTCTTGCACAGCCAGTGCTCTTTGCTTAGTTCTCACAAGCCTGTCTGCTTAAGCAGAGTAGTTAAGTTCATCATTGCTACCTCAAGATCTTGCCCATAGAGCAGATGTGCTTGCACTGAGAGCACGTCCATCTGTGTGCACAGGGCTCCTGCTGTGCTCCTGCCCCTCCCTCCCATATTCTGATCCTTCTGGTCCCATCCCTGCTGCCAGAATGTGTCCCGATGACACAGGTGCCCAGGCAGCTTCCCTGTGCAGGATGCTGCAGTGGGAATGCATTTATATCCATGGCAGGGAAGTTTAGATGGTGAATGCAAAGCAACTTGGTAGTGGTAATTCCTCTCTTCATGTTGTGATTGCAGTATGGGCTGGAACAACCTTGCCAGGTGCTGCAGGCACAAGTCAAGCAACCCCTCCTGCCAACAGCCCATCCCCGAGGTAAGGCCTGCAGAAAGTCTCTGAGCTTGACCACATACAAGAGTTACCAGTGTCTCCTCCACAATACCTATGTCTGCCTGGGGCAGGCAGCCTCTGGGCATCCCGTTCCCAGAGGAATTACACACCACAGTCCTTACCAAAGATGGCACCTCCTCTTCCAGCTCCTGCCCAGAGTATAATTACAAAGGAAGAAGTAGATTGATAAAATCAAGAGACAGCTTTCTGGAATGTAGATGCCTGTTTACCTTTTTATCCTATCTTTGCACTGTGCTTTTTGTAGCCATAGAAACCCCCAGATTCTGCCCCTAAGCCTGTCTCAACTTTGCTTACTCCTGGCCATGAATATTTAACAATGAAGTAGTCCTTGGCTACTGTTTTATCCTTCTATTTAACAGGCTGTTAAATAGAAAGGATTTTCCTCCCGTTTGGACACCTGCTGTCATCAACACTACAGCAGCACCTAAGAGTACAACCATACATCAGCTCAGGTGCAGCTAAACACGGGGGAAAGGCAGTACCTACTCCAGAGAGGTGGTACTGTGCTCTGAACTTTGAACAGTGCCTCGTTTTTAAAGCCTGGAGGATAGTTTAGGAAAAGCTGAGAAGGCACAGCCACAGAGAAACCAAGGGAGCTTTGCTGCAGGAGAACCAGGCCCTCCTTTCAAGTGCATAAAACCACGGGCATTAAAGCTATTCCTGTTCCTTTTGTGGTCACAGCTTGATAATGGGCTCCAAGAGCATCACGCTGTGCTACTGTCTAACACTGGTAACTCCTTTGCTCTCCTGGCTTCAGGTCAAATGGAAACACCTTCATCCTGCTGTCTGGGGTCCTCAGCATCCTGTTCCTCCTGGCACTCATCAGCTTGGTAACACTGTATGTCAGGCGCTGCAAGCAGCTGAACACAACAGGTATGTGGAGTCTGGTAATGCCTTGTGTTCTAGTCCGGACTAAGCAGGGCCTTTCCTGGCCATCTCTTCCACTTTGGGCGAGCTTATTCCCAACTCAAAGTGCCCTGGAGATGATAAGGCAGCTGCTGCTTGGGAAGCCTCAAGGCAGGCTCTTTGCTGTGAGCTCCTCTGACAGTAAGACAAACCCATGTTCCTCCAGACTCTGCATATGACACTTCCTAACATGACAGAGGAGAAGTGGGAACAATGTGATAGATGGGTCGCATGGGCACCCCCATTGCTTCTATCTCTGGGCAATCCCACAGCCTTCCCCCAAACTCCTGAAGCATAGGCAATGCCCAGGCATTTCATGGACTTGTCTACTTCTAAAATCTCTGATTTTAGCTCATTCCAAAGGGAACAGAGAAGAAGACACCTATGAGAAACCAGGGGACACAGCACAGGTAAGGAAAACAATAGCTTTTCCCTGTGGTACCAAATTCCGTACCAATGGTCTGTGAGAACAGCTGAATCACGCTAACAAGTGTTTTCCCTTTCTTTCCATAGCCTGACAGCTATGAAAGACTGGAAAGCCCTAGGGACAACAGCAAAGACCTAAAGTACGTTACTCTGAACTTTAAATCCCGGCTCAGCCCTGAGGATCCTCTCTACTGTAATGTTGAACTAAGTGAGGCTCACAGGAAACCCAAGGATGAAAACGTGGAATATGCTATCATTGCATTCAAGCAGTTACCAACGAACGACAAGGGATGAAGCACAAAATCCCAAAACAACCCAGAAATGGGAGAAAAGAACTGGAATACAAAGTGGGAATGGGGAGTAGAAGGTGTGTGGATGGACACTGGGGGTAGATCTAAGGTTTTGCTGCCATGTGTATGTCGCCTATGTATTTTAAGGCCTCCCTCCTATTAGGAGAAGAGACTGACCCCCCCCCCCCTTTGCTACAACCTCCTTTCAGGGAGTTGTAGAGAGCGAGAAGGTCACCCCTGAGCCCCCTTTCTGCAGCTGAACACCCCCAGTTCCCTCAGCTGCTCCTCACAGACAGGTTCTGCAGAGCTTTCAGCACAGAAAATAAGCTCTTGGGGCTTTTGTGCAGCTTCATGGGAGAGCTCCCCTTGGAAAGCGCTGCCATTACTTCCCTCTCTCTGCTGGAAACACTCCAGATAACACGTCTGCATCCTTGATTTAGCAGTCATGTGGTGAGCGATGTGCAATGAGTTTGCTGGGGCTCAGCTCCATTTCTCCAGAAGACCAGAAACTCTGGCACTTGCTGTAGCTGCACCCAGCTCTGCAGGAGCCTGAACCCACTCCTCTTCACAAGCCAGTCACATCCAAAAGGCTTCTCTTGCTATGGCTGCAGCAGGGAAGCTGATGTATTTCTTGAGATTTTCAGAGTTGAAATGACAGCAAGAAAAAGAAAATGGTTCTGGAAATAGTTCCTTCAGCCCTAGATTCCCTAAACTATTTGCTATTCATTCAGTCAGTTACACTGGCTTGAACAGTGCAAGAGTGGAAAACAATTGAGTGCAAGAGAGCCATTTTCAGGAAGACAGTGGCTTCTGATCAAAGAGAACCCAAAATTGTGTTCACTGGAGCAAGAATGAACAAAACCTGCAAGCAGCCAGCCTCAGGGAGACTGGACACTGTGAGGTACCATTTCCTTAAGCTGTAATTAGAGGAAAGAAAAAGAAGGCACTTCTGAATGGAGGGGAACTGTGGGTTTATCTGCCTGTGAAGCAGATAAGCACACACGTTACCAAGGGTCTACTTGTACTTTCATTTACTCCGAGTGAATAAGTTCAAGAAAGAAAAACCAGCACCATTCATAGCCTACCAGCCTACTGCCATCACAGGAGGCTCCAACTGCCCTCCTGAGCACTGGCTAGCTCCAAGTCAGTGCCCCCATGCCATGATCTTCCGTGCTTTCTGCTCCACACAAAATAAAGATGTCTGGTTTGCTCACGTAAAGCACCTCACAGCTTCACCCAACACTGTGTTCTTGTCTTCTTGCCTTTGGTTAGTTGTCAAATAGGAATACCTCATGTGCAGGCTCTTCTAAACCTTCTTTCTCCTGAAAATACCCACAAGGTGATGTCCTTGCCCTCCTCTCAGCCTTGTGATGCTGTCTCAGTGTCCTGGGTTTAGCAGTAGCAGTCATTAAGTTACCTGCAGAGTCCCCCTGAGAGCCACCCCTTTCCCTTTTGGCTTTGCAGGAATTCACTCCATGCAAAGCCTGCTCTGGTGGCCAGGCTCCAGGGCTGGGCTGGGAGGGACTCCCAGCACTATGTTTTCAGGCCATCACATGATGCTCTCTTTCAGGCTGTCTAGACTAAACTGTGGCTGTGCATGGGCAGTGCTGATGCCTGAATTTGCAGCCCACGGAAGAAATGTCCATCCCTGGTGAATTGCTCAATATGCAGGACAAAAAAGATGCCAAGTTCCTGTGCTCATTCCTTCCGGCAGAGCAAGGAGGGGGCAAAGCAAGCTGCTCTTGGGCAAGAGCCCTTTTCACTTTTCTCCAGACTCCTCTCCTGTCTCCTCTGCACAGCTGACATGGAGAAGCTCGTGCACCTCATCTTCTTGGTCTTCTTACCAGGTAAGAACACATACATGGCCTTGGGTTTCAGTTAACAGGTAGGGTGAAGGATTGGGGCAGAACTTGGGCTAAGGTACCTTTGGTAGGGTAAAGACTCTTCCTGCCTACCTGTGCACTGCAAGGTCCAGGGCAATGCGTGCAGAAGGACCCTGGAACACTGCAGTGTGTTCTACATCCGATTCTTCCTCCCCACTTATATTGCAGTGATGCCAGACTCCTTCCTAAGAGTTTGTGCTTTTCCATTCATTTACCAAAGGGTGATCCAGGTGCTCAGCTTTTCCCACCAGGATCCTTTTGAGTAAGACAAGAAGCACTGCTGACAGAACTCCTGGGTGAAACTGCAAAATCCTGTTAATTTCCATTTGTAGGGCTTGGAATATAAATTGCAACAGGCAGGTTTGAGAGGAGGCAAAGAAAGCTCAGTGAAGGGGACTTGGGCACTTGACTATGTTCAGCTTGGGAAGCAATGTTCGTCTGAAAGAGAAACAAGGCACAGGACCCAGCTGGCAGCCCTCTCCCTCCAGGAACCCTTTGTAGGTCCCAGGTACTTACAGGAATGCAAAGAAGGGCATTGGTGAAAGGTTCAGGCTTTGGGAGTGCAGAAACCTGCCTCAAAAATCTGAATGAGTTTGGGAAAGAAGTGCCCTATCCTTTTTTCAGTAGCACACAAGAGGGAAGAGGAACACAAATAGTAAGTGATGTGTCAGCAGGATTGGTTGAAAAGAGGATGACACAAAGTGTTCCACAGGGGCATCAGCAAGTTTATAAATGCCATGATTTGGATGAAGAGATTTTTTTGCAGTGCTGTTTCTATTTAAAACAAAGCCAAAGCCCCAAACCCCGGGGCTACTCCTGGAACTGGAGGGGCAGAATTGAAGGTGAAGAGGGGGTAACGAGGGATAGGAGAGGGAGTTAAAGTGCTTTGAGGGATTGCACAGGACAGGACTGGACATGTTGGGAGTAAACCTCAGGTGGAATAACTGAGGAGGGTAACAGAGTAGGATAAAGACTTGAATGTGTTGGAGAGCACTAATTCGTATTTTTGCCTTCTAGTAAAGCTGAAAGATCTTCAGATTTGTTTAGCTTACAATTCACTTAGAATGGCTAAAATGATTTTAAGAAGTGCTATTAAAAGGCTCAGCCAGCACAAAGTCCTGCTTTTTAATTTCTTTCTGTGTTATCATCACTTCTGTTTCATGGAAGGCACCAACATCTGAATTCCTTCACTAGAAATACAGGGATTTCCACAAATACCACACTGCACTTGTCTCTGGAAGTATGAATAGCTCAGACTGCTCCCTGTGCCTCTGCCAACCATCAAGAGGAATGGAGATTAGGAATAAGGGGATAAAACCAAATGAAAAGCCAAGCATCCACAGACCAGTTGTCAACATGCTAAAAATTAGCAGGATATTAAAAGATAGGGTGGAAAAAAAAACAAACTAAACCTCTAGATTTAGAAATTAGGAGTGGGATTAAGAAATAACCTCCTAAGCAGTTAGCTGGGCATGGGTTTGGAGGTGTCACAGTGATTTTACTGTTTCCAGGGCTGTGTAAAGAGCCTTAAAATGGGGATAAACTTCATGGGCCTTTACTGCAGAGGAGCTTTTCTGCAGCAGGGGGTATTCCAGAGCCAACTCTGCGTCTGTTAACATGTGTGTAAGTGCTCAAGGCCAAATCCTGAAGCAAGCTGTCTTGCTGCAGCTGGACATGGCAAAGCAGGGATGCCACAGCCCAATGAGAGGCACACACAAACAGCTTGGCAACATCGGTTTAGGAGCTGCCTTGTAAGAAGAGCTTTTAAAAAGCAAGACAGCTTGTGTGGTGCCACCTCAGTCTACCTGAATGCCCGGCTTCATGCTCCTCCTTCTCTCCTAGGAGCCTGTGCAGCAGAGAACATCACGGTGGTGTATGGAATGGAAGGGGACACCATTTCTGTCAACTGCACCTATAACCCCTGGCAGCAGCGATGGAGAGAAAAGAGTTGGTGCAAGCAGATCCATGAGACCAAGTGCCAACACGTGGTGAGTGCCCGACGCTTCTGGCTGCCTTTCCTAAAGAACAGGAACGGCACCACCTCTATCAGCGACAACGTCCGTGAAGGGGTCCTGACAGTCACCATAAAGGGACTCAAGAAGCAGGATGCTGGGTTGTACCAGTGCAAAAGTGACTACCTGGGGGAAACAAACAGCTTAAGGAAGGTGCAAGTGGAAGTGCTGACAGGTATGTTCTGAGGCTCTGAGTTCACAGGTTCTGCAGATGCCAAGGCCTCACTTCAGTAAACATCTATTTGTGTCTTACTCTAAGGAGGAACTGTTTCATTGCCTCTTTTTAGTTCCTGATTTACAGTAACATGACCTCACTTTCACAGGACATCCCTTTTGTCATCCCTTTATTGCTACCCAGATTAACCTTCTAGAAGCTAGCCCAGTGGCTAGTCTCCCCTTGGTTACCTGTGCCTTGCAGGGCACTGGTGTTGCTGACACCAATGAGCATCACCCACAAACATCTGCAGACTAAACTGTTCTGTTTCTGTCATCAGCTGTCCTGGAGACCCAAATGCCAGAGGAGCCCAGGGCTGTGCATAGCATCTCCAGGTAAGCCCCAGAACTCCTCATGCTGTGATCTCTGATATTCCTAGGGTAAGGCAGATTAGCATCGGCAACCCTATTAGAAGTTGAGAGGAACAGCACCACAGGCATAGTTTCTACCTGTTCCTAATCCATGACAATTCCTAGAGCTGCTGTGTGGTTTCTAAGGTTTTTATCCTAATTTAGAAAACGCAGTGCTAAAGTGTCAAGCAAAACAAATCCTGCAGATCATAATTTTATCTGTATGTGAGATAACCAGGCTCTATTGTGCACAGGCAGGGACTGCCTGTTGCACATGTTACCATCTTCATATTTGTACTATGAGTTTCTTTAATGCTGTCTTTCAAAAGTTGAACCATCCCCTTCACTGTTGTATTTGTGGTTCCCCATAGCATCCCTCCTGAAGCTGATTTCACTGTCCTCTATATCCTTGCTGGATTACTGGTTTCTAAATTCCTGGTGGCTGTGCTGATCTTTATCATTGGCAACAGCAGGAAGAGCAGAGGAAGAGAGTGGACAAACCCAAGGCTGAGTGAGCAGCAGGTCCTCCCTTTCGCTGGTGATGGAATCAGCCCCTCCTGGGAGAGCACTGCTTAGAGCCACACCAAAGGGAGGTCACAGGGAAATGACCATCAGACATTTGCAGGCAAAGCTTTGCCACCTGCTGTAAGAAAAGCATCGCCTATTAAACATAGGCACCGCTGAACCTGTCGCTCTGGAGAGGGAATGTCACCATCTGCCACCTCTTCTTCTTAGCGATGACCAACTTTTCCCAGCACAGCTGAACTGAAAAGATGCTGCCAGTAGCACCCGAACCTAAAGGAAGAGGATGGGATCAAGGGCTGGGGGAAAAGAGGAACATGAAATCTTTCTGTCAAGAGATCCAACACAGGCTTATCTGTGTGCAGAGATGCTTCCCCAGGCACATGGAGGGTGAGCAGCTCTGCTCAGTTTTCCCCCAGCTCATTGCTAGGCCAGAAAAAAAACGCTCTGTACAGCTGGTAAATGTACGTGCTTTGTTAGAAATAAAACTACAGATACACCAGCAACAAAACCAGAAGTTTAGGTAACACATCTCAACCACAACGTGTTGAGCAACTCACACACACATCCTCATAATGTAAAAATGGAAAGACATGGTTCTGTCTCAGATCTTCTAGAAACTTTTCCTGATTCATGGAAATCAGTGATAAAGAACTGATCCAGGTTTCCCATTTGATCTCTAGTGATCACACTCCTCAGACTGGGGCTGGTTATTTCCTTGTCTTCAGCTTTTTTCAAGGTGTCCTACATGTCTCCACAAAACACTCAAATGCTTCCCCCAAAAGCATGAAATACAGCCAGAACGACATGGTTTCTATTGAAAGCTAGGAGTATAATTTGTCTAAAAATCAGCTTTTTAACCGAGATTCCACTCTCTAAAGCCTTTGGCAATGCAGTGCTCTGCTGTCCTCTCCAGCCGCTGCCAGCAGCAGCACCATCAGGCAAGGCAGTTATTCCAGATACTCATCCCAATATCATTTCACCAGGGTCTGAATTGAGACCCACCAGCTTCGTGTCATTTCAGAGCAGTGCCAGATCCTGCCTTTCCAAGGTGATGAAGATTAACTCCCAGAAACTGTCTTGGACAGTGTGGATCCTTGGTGAACAGTCACTGTGGAAAGGTGCAAGGGACTGCGGAACATAATAGAATAGAATGGGAAGTCTCCCTGCAGGCCTGAGCCTGCTTCCTTATTTCTCAAAACACAAAGTTCTCTTTGCAAGCACAGAATGAACTGGCTCTCTGTATTCCTCCGTATTTTTTCTACCTTATTAAGGGGATGTTTACTAACGTGATCATTGCTCATCACTCCCCAAAGTGAAGTTGCATTTTGCTCTCCCAGGAAGACCCCAAACCCAAGGGTATTCGCATTCTTTTCCCTGCACTGCTTGCAAAGCTAAATAAAATCAAACTGATTACCTGACTTAGCATGGAGCCATGATGAAGAGCTGCAGTACACCAGGTCACAGCACATCACCCAAAGAAGAGGTGACACTTAGAATGTGCTGGTGTGTTTCTGCTGTGTAGAAATGCTCTGAGCCAGCTGGGCAGGTCGGCATGTGCACCTCTGCCTAGCACCATGCAGAAGCAGCAGCTCAGATCCCAAACCAGATAAGGCACTCCATGGTTGTGCTCTGGCTAAACTCATTTCCAGAGGCTAAATTAGCCCATCCACAGCCACACACCACTGCAGCTGTGCTAACAAAGCCTGGCTTCAGTATTCCCACATGGTAACTATGGTGCCCTGGGATCATGACACAACTCCCAAGAGAGAATTCTGGCACATATCTCTGTGGGTGATGCGAAGAATATTCTGCTGCAAAGAATACAGGTAGTGGTTTCACTTGAGGATGAGCTACCAGATCAACAGTGCACAGGGTGGGAGACAGCTAAAATAAATCAAGAGTGACGTGTCACTTCCATTTTTGCTTTACAGCAAAAGATGGTGTACCTAAAGATCCCACTAGAGGTTATCAAGGACAGGGTAAAACTCCATTATATAGTTCAACACAGAACCACAGTATGTACCTGTATGTATCCAGAGGCAGAAGTGGCCAGGAAATTATTTTTTGCCATATGAAATAAAAAAGTCTCAAAGGAAATAAAAAGAAAATATTTTATGGATTCCCATCAAAACCACTGTATATGATTTTGTAGGATTGTATTAATCAAAACCAAATGGGTTTGGGACAGCAATATTTCAAGTTGATGAGAACTAAAAAAACAGCTTTTGCACAAATGTTTCCATTCAGTTAGAAGTGTTTTCCAGTCACAGAAACCTTTCACACAGAAAAGCTTTGATAACTCATGTAGAAGACTTGTATAACGCACAAGAAATCACCTGAGGGGTCCCAGGGAACCTGAGAGCAGGCCTGGAGCCTAACAGCCTCTGCCCAGGAAGGGCAGCAGGAATCCAGATTTCCCATTTGCCACCCCAGTTCATCTCCAGTGATCACACTCCTGGGGCTGCTTATTTCCTTGTCCTCTGCGGGTTCTCTTTGTGCTGATGTTAGCTCTGCTCCTTTGTTGCATGAGATGGTTTAAGAAGGACAGGGACCTGCTGGAGAGAGTCCAGCGCAGGGCAACTAAGATGATTAAGAGAGTGGAGCATCTCCCTTATGAGGAAAGACTGAGGGAGCTGGGTCTCTATAGTTTGGAGAAGAGGAGATTGAGGGGTGACCTTATTAGTGTATATAAATATATAAAGGGGAGCCAAACCAACCTTATCTAGGTGTTCCTGCTCCGGCAGGGGGATTTGACTAGATGATCTTTTGAGGTCCCTTCCAATCTCTAACATACTGTGATACTGTGACACACCGTGGGGATACAACTCCACGTTCTGGAACTGAAAACAGGTCCACCTCAGCAAAGCAACCCAAAGCCTTGGGCTTAGTCACAGAATTTTGCTGAACTTACCAATTTGTAACCAGCTGCTGAGATTGGATGTGTCTGGGGTGTGAGGCAGAACACAGCTGAAATGCTGATGCACATGGATCCACAAACTTTCCCTGACAAAAAATACCTGCACTTTATAACAGTCCAGCATCGCAGTTCAGCTTTTGGTAAGCCAATCTAGTGGGAAGCTGGGGTGTATTTCTTTTTCCAAATTACTCTATTTTTAAACAACAGGCAACTATAAACCCAAATACAGGAAACTACTTCTCTCTGGTAGCAACTGATACAGTGCCAGCCACGGGAGGGCTTGAAATACACAAGTAATGCACTTGACATGCTTTAGTAAACAAGGGTCCTGTGGAAAGACATTTGTCTACTTTATAGTATGAACTGTCTTCAGTTTGAACACATGGGTGTAGAACTTACACCCAAAGTTAGTTATTTTGACAAAGAAATAGCTGTATTTCATTGCCTTTGGTGCTTGCTAATACCACCACACCCATGCTACAATATAAACCCTTAATATATTACACACACACTGATCAAACTCCTCAATCCTGTTATCACGGCGCTATCTGCAAACACTCGTGGATTATGGATAAATCCCAAAAGTCATCTGACTGAGATTTTCATCTGAATTCTATGAGCTGGAGCCCGAGGGTGCCAAATATGATACAAAAATGGGTTTAATGTTTTGGTATTAAGATCCCAAGAAGACTCCAACCTCGGTACTAGGTGGCATGGGAGGAACGTGAAAAGGCAGAGAATACACCCATGAATCATATAAACTCCACTCTGCCTGCCTGTGAGTGCTTGTACAATTCTGAAGGGGGAAGAGGGGTAGGGAAGAAGGAAATTCTGTTGACTGGTCTTGTGTGGCTACATGACAGGAAGCTTTTTGCCATTAATAATAGCTAAAGAAACGTATTTCTGGCTTCCTAAACAGGCTTGCGCGAGTGCATCCCTCCCTTCCTGCGCCAGCTTCCCATTTTCTGTTCTTGCATGCTGTTATTTTTAATTTTTCTGAGTTTAACCCACACCAGCTGCATTAACCAGCTCTGTTAAAATGAATGGCTGACACCCTTGTGCTTTGGGTCATTTCTGAGCTGACAGAAGTGTTGGTGTGGGGACCATACCATTACAGTCTGACATGATGCACAACAGCAGAGACCAACAGTTAATGTAAGGCTGCAGCAGACAAGTCCGACTCCTTATTTATGCTACTTGTCTCTTTGAAAGCACCTGAACCTTTGCCTGCATAGACACTCATCAGGATGCAATGGCATTCACAGTGACAGGGCTGTGGGCCTCAGATCCTAAAGTAATAGAAGATGAATAACCAACTTAATAGAGAGGCTCACTGGTGCACGTCTTTCTGCCTAAAAAGCTGAAGATGATCTGCTATCATACGATAAATTCAAGGGTGTTTCTAGGGACAGTTTATCTCTATGGATGTTGTCAGTCCCCTGTCACAAGCTATCAAAATGTAACTGCCTGATTTAAAATAAAGACACAAGAAACATTCTCAAATCTTTCTAAATCTGTAACATCTTACAGGCGTTTTCCTTCTGTGCAAATGATGGAGACTTGCTTGTAATCTGAACTGCCTATAATGAAGGAAGAATTATCTTAAGACCCAATTTAAATGGGCATCTTTGGTAGCTAAGCTTGGAAAGCACCAGCAGCTCACCCAATCCACTTCTGTTCAGCTGTGGAACCACATTCAGGAATGGTTTAACAGGTATGAGCAGCCTCTGGCCATTTGAGACATGACAAACCTGGCCGTATCTTCAGATAAGCCTGTCAGAGACAGCTGGTTAGAGACCTAGTTCTGGTTTGGCTGTTGAATAACGGTATAAGCATGTACCTGGGTAATGTCTCACACGTCCTCCCAGCTTCTCCCTCTGATGGCAACAGGAAGACAAGTTGCAGCGCTCAAGGAACTGGCTGTATCAGATGGACAGGGCACAGGATGTAAGAGGACAGGAGTTTCTTCCAGGACTGAGGCTATTAGTCAATACCTTCCATTCCGGTGCCTCCAAAGCTCTCTTCTGTCCTTGTAGTTAAAACTCACTCCAAATCTAAGATAGCTGCTGAAACAGTTATTTGTGACTTGTCTCACTTCAAAAGCAGTAAACACTAAGAGGACTGGTTTAATCTCCAATAGGGAGTACACAAATACAGGACTGATGGTTGGGCACCTTCCTCCGTTACCTGCTGTTAACTGCTAAGAGCATTGCACTGTATGAACATAACAATCATATAATAAGTCATACTCCCTGGGCTCTGAGTGGAGTGGCAAAGACTTCTCCTACCCCTCAGCAGCCCCTCCTCAGACACAACCCACCCCACAGCCGCCATCTTGAGGTACTGCTTTCCTCAGGCTGTGAAGAAGAGTACTCTTCACCAGCCAATCAGAGGCGTCCCAGAGCAACCCCCAGCCAATCAGCACCCTCAGCCTGGCCCCAAGGGCGGGCACAGCAGTGCCTCGAGCAGCAAGATGGCGGATGGGCATGGAGCAATGGCACACCAAGATGTCCGGTGCCCACAGCCTTCCCTCATGGAGGGTGAGAGAGCTCAGCGGCTGCTGGGTGCTCCTCAGCAGTGCCTGCCCTGCTCTGTGTCACTGCTGCTGCTTGGCTCAAGAGGTCTGAAAAAGAAGCAAAGCTTGTTCTTGGTTTATAAACTTTTATTAGCTGGATAGTGTACACAGTACTTACAATTGCATCTATTAAAGACTGAAATACACTTGAAAAAATGTATTATATAAAAAAAAAATTATAAACTTTTAACTATATACAAACTTTGCCTCACGTTTCATTCCTTTCGGTACCCTCCCCACACCCATTCACAAAGAAAAGATTCCTCTCGCCCCCTTTTTAACATGCAAGGCCTTAAAGCCGCGTGGCATCGCTTGGGGACCGCTTTCCAAACCCCGTTCTTCACACTCCCATTAAACTGGTTTTTGATCCGTTCACCACTCCAGTGCTCTCTGGGTCAATCAACCACAATTATTCCCGAGCCTCTTCCTTTTTCCTCTCTTTTACGCACTTCGAAAGGGGA